TTTATTTATTTGACAGCTCGAGCGAGAGAGAGCACAAGCAGAGGGAGCAGCAGGCAGAGGGAGAGGGAGAAGAAGTCTTCCCGCTGAGCAGGGAGCCCAATGTGGGGGCTCGATCCCAGGGTCCCTGGATCATGACCTGAGCCGAAGGCAGACGCTTAACCAACTGAGCCACCCAGGCGGCCCACAAATAGGGTGCCTTCTTAAGCTGGGTCCTAGATTGGCTTGGGGGCTTCAGGGTCACTGTGTTTCATCTTCTGCGTGTTTTCCTGATTTCCTTCCTACTCTCTCTGCTGAGTGCAGGTGCTCGGAGAGCTCTCCTTCCCGCTCGCTCAGACGTTCTCAGTAGACCCCATCCCTCCCATGTTTGATCCCAGGCATGTTTGATCCCGGGTGAGGCCACGAGGTGCCGCCAAAGGAAAGCGGTTCACCCGTGTCTTCAAGCTCCAGCGAGCAGAGCTAAAGCAGTACTGATTAGCCCCGTCGGCATGGCCGTTCTGAGAACAGCTGCCCGCACAGCACGTTTTGTCTTTCAGCAGTGGGTTTCGGGTTGCTGGGTATCTTAATAGGATAAGAAATCACATGGGGGAATGGGACTATGGGAGAAGTAATTACAAGGCTACCCAATGAGGAGAGAAGAGGACCAGGGGTAGGCATACATAACTTTAAGGAAATGGGAAAAGCCAGATTTACACCAAAGAGAAATCAGGGTGTTTGGAGGAGTGATGCTTCGTGTTATAGAATTGAACAGCAGTTAGCAGTCAGGAATAAAATATTTGCCTCCAAGACAGTGGTCAGAGGAGTAACGTCTTTCCACTTGAAAGTACGTTCAAATAATTTTCCCACACCCATGCATTGTCAAGTCTTGGTTGATTTCTTTCTTTCTTTCTTTCTTTCTTTCTTTCTTTCTTTCTTTCTTTCTTTCTTTCTCCTTTCTTTCTTTCTTTCTTTCTTTCTTTCTTTCTTTCAAGATTTTATTTATTTTAGAGAGAGAGCAAGCATGCAAGCGGGGGCAGGGACAGAGGGAGAGGGAGAGAGGATCCTGAGCAGACTCTGTGCTGATTGTGGAGCCCCAAGTGTGGGGCTCAGTCCCAGGACCCCAAGACCACGACCTGAGCCAAAATCAAGAGTCGTGAGTTAGGGAGGTATGGTGGTCATTCCAGGTGTGCAGTGGCTTTCACACTCTTCCTTGCGTGCTCTCTCTTGCCCACTGCTGCCATTTCCTCCCTTTACATAGGAAAACCCCTTCCTTTAATGACTGAACTACCCAAGCGTCCTGATTGTACTCATTGCCTGTTGCTGCGGAGCAAATTATCTGAAAACCATGGCTTAATATAACAAACCCTTAGTGTCTCACGGTTCCTGTGGGTGGCATGTTCAGAAATGGCTTGGCAGGGTGCTTCTGGCTTGGGGGCGTCTCCTGAAGTTGCACAAGGATGTTGGCAGGGGCTGTGTCATCTGAAGGATTGACCGAGGCGGGCAGCTCCACATTCAAGATGGCGCGCCCCCATGGCTGTCGGTGGGAGACCTCGGTGTCTCACTGTATGGCAGCTGGATCCCCCAGAGTGAGCTAGCTGGAAGCTGCCGTGTCTTCTGTGACCAAGCCTCAGAAGTCACTTGTCTCCAGTGTCCTACTGGCGCTTTCCCTTCCGAGAGCATGAGCACCAAGGGCGCCCTGGGATCATCAGGGGACCAGCCAGCACACTGTCCTGTTATGTTATTGCCGTCTGTTAGGTGGAAATTCATGTCTCGCTGTTGTCATGTGTTGTTTCTTCGACAGCGAGCCTGGTCATGCTGACCTCTTAGGCTAACTTCCACATAGACATCCTTTTTTAGGAAGTTGAGTAAACCCGTGTCTGTGTGACGTTTCAGGGCACCCATTTCTAACCCGTGTTTAAACTGTGTGAGTTTTCCTCCTTGTCTGTGACTGAGAACCTGTCTTTTAGGGCTCTCTCTACAGTCTGTCCCTTTTCTCTTCCCAGGGGAAGGCAGAGAGGAAATCGTGAAGGTGACATTTGAAGAGTTGAGGCAACAAGTGGCTTTGTTTGCAGCAGCAATGAGGAAAATGGGTGTGAAACAAGGAGACCGGGTGGTCGGTGAGTATTTTTGGTTCTTGTGGTTTTGCGGTGGGGAGACTGAGGTAGAGGGACTGGATTGGAAGGTTGAGGCCACTTTTTTACAAGATGGCAGATTACATGCAGCCTTGTAGGACTTCAGCGATCTGTGCTCGATGGAGGCTAGATACACAGGGAAGGTCATGGCACAGGGAGAGTGCAGGGTAGTCCGCGCAACAGAGATAGCCTGTGCAAAGGCCCTGAGGCTCATGGGCGCAGGGCACCTGCAGGGTTGACAGGAGTGTGGTGGGCTAGGTGTGCAGGGCAGGCAGCAAGGCTGGCAGGGACTGCCCTTCTGGAAGGAAGACGGATTGGAGTCCTCAGACCTGAAAGGGAGGCCTGACTCCTCTCCACCTCCATCCCCCGCCCCCCCCAAGTCCCTGCCTTCCTTTGTTCTCTCCTAATCTGGTGGTGAGTCATGTTTCTTACAGTTTTCTTTTCACTTTGACTCCGGGAGGACCTTTAAAGGCCTCTAAGTGAACCTGGTCTCCACGGCAAGGCACTGTAGTGAATTGAGATGTGGGTGGGTGTATCCCCAGGGCAAGCAGCAGCAGGTAAGAAGACTAGCCTGCCTCCCCCACCCCCATGTGGTGGTGGGACTGGGGCCATGGGGCAGGGGAGGCAGCTGGGGAAGCCATTGCTGGGCCTTTCCCCAGAAAGCTCACTGCAAGTGGGCATTCAGCATGTGTTTGCAAAGAGGGCGGCCTTATCATGTGTAAACGGAGGAAAGGGCTGTGCCTGTGTCTCCTCGCTTGGCAGCTGGGCCTGGGGTCCTTGCTAGGACCTGACTAGCTCCAGACAGTAGGGATGTACCAAGTGGCCTCCTGTCTTAGCCCTTGGGGGGGCCTTCCTGTGGTTGGTCCCTGTGAGCCCACGGAAAACCCGCCACCACTCTCTCCCTCTCTCCGCACACCCTGCTTTGTTTTTCTGTTCTCCTCAGAGACCACCTGAGATCTTGGGGTTATTAGTGTGCACACACGCGTCTCTGTCCTCCCATACTAGAGGACTGGGGCTCTGCCTTCTGTTTGCTGCCGCGTCTCAGTGCCCAGGGAGGTGGGCGCACAGCGGGTGCATGATGAACACGGAGTGAGCGAGTGTGGGTGTGGGGCCCGTGGTCACAGCAGGCATTGCGTGGTCGAAGGCTTAGTATCTGGGGTTCTTCTTCCAATTTAGCCTGCCCTTTTGAGGTTTAGAAAAGGATTTCAGAAGGTCCTTCTTCCAATTTTCATTTAAAAAAAAAATCTCTTTTCAAAGCAAACGTTTTCTGAGAGAAGGAGAAATGGAGAACCAGGTGTGTTGGGGAAGGTGGCTGAGAGCCCTCCGGGGAGGGCACACCTGACTCTGCAGAGTCAGGCCGGTATCTGGCGACCGGCCCTCGTGGGTGTCACAGCATGGACACTGGACCGTAGTTCCAGGCTGGGGGCTTTGTTTCCCTGACGGGGGCACGAGGGAGTGACCCCCCGGGAAGAGGCGTGAGGGGCTCTTCACACTGCGGTGGGGCTGCCCGTGGGGGGCTTCTCTTGTCTGTGACTTGCTCATCTCCTGGCCCTTTGCCAGTCTCCACCAAGTCTGGCTGTGCAGCCTCCCAGGGCTGGGTCCCATCCGGCCCCGGGGACTTTGCAGTTTACACACCAAGCTCAGCACATGTGGCAGGTGCTGGGCGCACCCTGCCCTCTGGGACACTCCTGTCCTGGCGGGAGTGGTCACAGCTGAGAGCAGTGGGGAGGGAAGCAAGGGGAGAGCTGAGCTCAGGGCCGTGGGCGCCGGGACTGTGGGGCTTCTGTGGTCACCAGGGGACCATGGCTCCCTGTTCCCTGATGCCTCGTGCGTGCTCCTTTCCTCTGGAACATTTAGGATGATCTGTTTAATGGACCACAGTCTGACTGGCCACAAAGATTCTTTTGGTCTGTTGTGGTGAAAGCCCAGCCTCCTGTCAGATGGAGGGTCTGTGGTGCTTCTCTTACAGTCTCGTGACTGTCCTGCTCATCGTCTTCATTCCCTTATTGCCTCTCCTTCCCTCCCCATCTGTCCACCTGTCTGTCCATCTTTTCTTCCCTCCATCCACCTGCCAGCCAGCTCACCAGTATGAAGGCCCTGATATGCCGGGCATGGTAAACGGTACTTGGTCAAGCAAAGAACAAAACAGGCAAAGTTGCTGCCCTCCCATGAGAACCAGATATAAAATTGCCACTTACAACTATTAGATGTAGGTGATTGTTAAGGTTAATTTGGTGAGGGAGAAATAGAGTGTGCTTTGTGGGGACTGGCCAGGGAACTCGAGCCTATGGGGTGACCTTGGAGAGGGCATCTCTGAGAAAGTCTCATTTGCATTAAGAGCTGAATGATGAGTTTGCAGAGTCAGGAAGGCTGGTGGGTATGGAAGAGTGTTCAGGCAGAGGAAACAGTCTGTGCAAAGGCCCTGGGGCAGGAGGAGCTTGGAACAACTGGAGAACTGAAAGAAGGCTGTGACTGAGCCCAGTGTGGGAGGCAGAGTGGAGGGAGAGGAGGCCGGGGCCGGATCCTGCAAGGGCTGGGGGGATCGCCCTGGTTAGGTTGGGTTGGAGGGGGTGACAGTAGGACATGGACAGGCTGGTGATAAGTGGTGGGGCTTTCTGAGGGGGCAATGTCCAGGCACTGGGGTGAGGTGGGGCTGGCCGTGCTCCTTGGACCAGCGAGAGCCAGCCCCTCTCCCCACTCCTGCCCTCGCTCTCAGCGGTGCCTTTTAGAGGTCTACCATGTCCAGCATACCCTGAACCTAGGCCTTTCTCCCTGTGCCCAATGGCAGGTTATTTACCCAACGGCGTGCATGCTGTGGAGGCCATGCTGGCCGCAGCGAGCATCGGCGCCATCTGGAGTTCCACATCCCCAGACTTCGGTGTGAACGTGAGTTGGGGTTCCCACCGATTGCCCTGGGAGTGCGGCCACTGTGGCAGAAACATTCCCATGCGATTTCTGCAGGGAAGCACTCTGCCCCTCTCTGACATCTTGGGCAGGGGTGCGGGAGGCTGTGCAGCAGGACTGGTGGGTCTGGAAGGCGACCATGTCACCATGGCCTCCCATCTCACGGCTGGTGACATGAGAACGAGAGAAGGAGCCAGAAGGAGCAGAGTCTTGTTTTTCAATCTAAAAGTGGATGAGTCTTCCTTTTTTCTAATATTACTGATGTCCTGTCCGGGTGTACGGACTGCGTCAGCGTGTGTTCTGTGTGACAGATGGCTCTTGGAGATCTGGCTAGAGGGGGCTGGTCATCTGTCCACGGATCCGTGACCACAGGAGATTTTCTGTAGACAGTCGTCTGGATTTGCTCATAGAAGTTCCCCCGAGGCCTCCCTGCCATTTCTGATCTCTTACTTTGAATCTATGCTCTCTGTGCTCTGTGCGGGAGGAGGGCGGACCTCCTTCTCTCTCTGAGCCCCGCAGGGACCTCGGGTACATCCAGCTGCTGGAGTGACCTAGGCAGGGGCAGGCAGCTCATGCTCAACCCCGCCGTGGAGGGCAAAGCAGCGGCAGAACAGGACTTACTCAGGGCCCTAGGGACCTCTCCTGGTTGCAGAGCCTTGGGGATGAGGGGCCCTCAGGAGCCACGAGGACAGACCCCAGTTAGAGGACCCGGGGGGCCTCCATGACCACCAGCCACTCTGCCCAGCGTCGGACTGCTCCGCTCTCGACACAGCCCCTGCTCCGGCACGGGACCATGTAGCCCAGTGTCTGAAGCTTGGCCTGGCCTTGCCGACAGCGCACCCTTGGCCAGCTGTTTATCCTCCGTGTGAAACGGGCCATGGGAAGGCAGGGCCATGAATGAGTGTCGGAGGTTCGGGCCCGTGGTTGGCACACCCGTGCGGCAGGTGCAGCCACTGGCGGCGTCGGAGCTCAGGGCCCTGTGGTCAGTGTGCGTCTCAGCTGCGGGGTAGGTTTCTGGGTATGAGCCTGGTGCTCACATCTGCCTTGGGACTTGCTGTCCTGGCAAAGATGGTCCCAGTACCTCTCATTTTCCCGATGCCGTGCAAAGGAGGAACAGACGTGCTTCTCTGGCACAGGGGCCTGGAGACGTGAGGCGACCTGACTCTGGGGCGAGGCCCGAGCTCTGCTGAGTTCAGGGAGGGGTGGCCGCCCCAGACCTCACCACTTGGCGTGGTTTTCCTCCTGGGGCTTACGTGTGCCTGTGCCTGCTTCACCCCGTGGAGGACCACCCTGGGTCAGCCAGGACTGGAGCTCTCTGTGCAGCCTCCAGTGCCCCAGGCTGTCCGTGAGCCTGTGAGAGCTGCTTGGGGCCGGTGGCATCTGCACAGAGGGTCTTGGAAGGTTGGGGCCAGCCGGTCCCTGGGCACTGTTCCCTCGGACCTTCAGCTGCCCTTGATCTGTGTTGCTCAGAAGCAACCCTCAGCCCATCTTAGAATCCTGGGCTTTCAGAGTACAGTTTTGCTGTCCTGCGTGTGTACATCACCACGGTGCCTTTTATCCCCCTAATGGTTTTCCTGGTGAGCCTCATGAATTTTCCACATAGCCCTTCCCCTTGTGTGCATGGACAAAGCACCCGGTCTTTACGCCTCTCCCTTCTGGTTCCCACCTCCCCGGGATTTTCTTGGGGAATCATGGCTTCACTGTTTGTGCTCTTAGAGTAACCCGGGTTTGATTGTCAGCCGCTGGCCTTGGACCGATACACAAGGGAACTGAAGGGGCGTTCTGGGCTGTGCCTTCCCAGGAGCCCTGTTTGTGGATGAAGAGGGCTCCACTGTGTTCTGAACTTGGGGGGAGACCCGGCTGGGAGTGCATTTGCCTGTCACCCCTGGGAGAACACTTGGGTTGTGTGGAGCATGTTGTGAGGCTGCACCTGTCAGTTCCCATCAGTTCACAGCAGTCCCAGAGACCAGGTGTGACCTGCGTGGGAAGCCAGCGTTCTTCCAGAGAGAGACGTGTGCTTGGCAGGATGGCGGGTTCCATGTGTGCTGTAAACAGACACGTGGCTGCGGTGAGCCTGCTTTTTGTATTCATTTATTAAAAATATTTATTAATTTATTTTAGAGAGAGAAAGTGTGCATGGGTGTCAGTGGGAGGAGGGGCAGAGAGAGGGAATCCCAAGCAGACTCCCGGCTGAGCGTGGAGCCTGACACGGGGCTCGGTCGATGCCATGACCCATGAGATCGCGACCTGAGCCGAAATCACAAGTCAGATGGCGACCACCCCAGCCAGCCAGGCACCCCGAGTCTGCCTTTTCAACAGAGCTTGTGTATTAGTATACACATTTATGGGGTCATGCATTTTGTTGGCAAGAAGCGCTGTTTGGAGGATTAGAAGAGAACCAGGACGTGGAGGTGCTTTGTGGTGCGAGTTGCCTTTCTGGAAGGCGAGTTGTCTTTCCCGTGCGTGAGAGGAATGGTGTTTGAGGCTCTTTCTGCAAAGTGCGGCTCTTTCTGGAAGGGCCACTACTCGGCCCCCTGTTTCCCCGTCTTATAGACTTGTGTTTTGCTATTTCGGTGTGTGTGTGCACACCCTTCTGGTATTTCTGTAGGTCGAGTCCTTGAAGTGACGGTCCCATCTCTGGCGTGAGCTGTGGTTTGCTGGGCTTTCCGCGTTGGCCTGCAGCTGACAGGGACGTGGGAGTCGGGCTGGCGGACGGTGCCGTTGGTCTCTCCACCGACGTGGTCCCGTTGGTGGCTGAGGTTGTTTGCTTTGGTGTGACTGATGGTGACCACCCTTTCCTTCCATTTGCAGGGTGTCCTGGACCGCTTTTCTCAAATCCAGCCGAAGCTCATCTTCTCCGTGGAGGCTGTCGTGTACAACGGCAAAGAGTACAGCCACATGGACAAGTTGCAGCAGGTGGTGAAAGGTGGGTGGCCCTCCCACATCTCAGCTAGCAAGGCAGGGCGCAGGGTGCACCAATAAGAGGTCCCCGGGGCCCCTTGTCGGCCGTCCCTCGGTTGTGTTACACTCTGTGAGAAATACCACTGCCCATATGCCGTGGCCTGTAAGCCCGTGTTCCCCCCTCCTCCCTCCAGGACTTCCGGACTTGAAGAAGGTGGTGCTGATTCCTTACGTTGCCTCTAAAGAGAAGATAGACATTTCCAAGATTCCAAATAGGTAAGTCCACCATGTGCCAATCGCTGGTTCCGGGCAGAACCCCCCGGAAGTCCCAGTGGGTTGTCCAGTCTGTGAATCCTTTCACGGGGGGCATAGCATTTTAGAGGTGCGGGAGGTTTTGGTTAAAAATCACAGTTTGTACGTGGGCACCTGAGGCCACACAGTGACTTCGCGGTGGAATGGAGAGAGCCCCAGGAGTCCTCCGTCTTTCCCTCTGCTGTGACTTGAAGTGTCTGGTCAAGGCCAGCTCCCCGATGGAATGGAAATTGCCGTGTGTGTGTGTGTGCGTGCGTGCGCGCGCATGTGTGTGTACATGTAAACACACGCTTGTGTGTATATGTTTACCTTGTAGGACCTTTGTCTCTATTGTTAATAGCACCTTCCTTTGTTTTTCTGACATTTATAAGCTGATGCATCACACACTTATGTACCTAATAGTATTGGGGGCAGTTTATTTTGGAAGAGGAATTCAGGAATTGGGTTGTGGTTTGGTCACAGTTGAGTTTGCCTCCAGATTCTTGGAGTTATACTCCTTTCTCCTTCCTTGAAACCATCATGGGGGGTTCCGAGGTCAGGTGTGTTTACTCCCTCTTGCCCTGTCGGGGGGACAGGGAGGAGATCACAAGGGTCTTTTAGGGGGGCAGACAACTGACATGTGGCTTGGGTTTTGTGCAGGCTGCTTTCTAGGGGTGCTGAGGGGGGACGTCTAGGTGCTATGCTCCAGGGGTTGTGGTCGTTGGGAGGCACAAGCCACACCTGCAGGGAGGGTGAGCCATGAGCCGTGACCACTGGGCCCAGTAGACAAGGCCATGCTTCTTGTGGGGCAGGAGGTGGACAGGAGGTACCTAGGGGCTGAGAGAAGGGCACAGGTCTAGGGGAGGTGACACCGAAGGTGACCTTGACAGATGAGCAGGGTTTGGGGACAGCTGCCAGTACTTGGATTCCAGAGGCCACAGGGTGCTGCCAGCAAAGTGACTCTTCTGTGAGGGCGGTGGTCTCAGCTCTGTGACCCTGTGTGAGGGCTCCACCTGTCTGTGCCTGGGGTCCCCATCTGTAAAATGGGGAGATAACAGCACTTTCTTCAGTAAGTGGACACCAGGCCAAGTGCACTTAGCGTAGCCCCTGACAGTCATGATGGGCTGGGGACAGCCGCAGACTGAGGTGTGCTCTGTCCCACGGGTATCTGCGTCAGGATGTGCAGGGCCTTACGGGCAGGCTCGGCACTTGGGTCGTCCCTGAGACTGGGGGGGCTCTGACAACTGTGATGAATGACAGCCAGATGACGAGCCCCGGTCCCAGTTCCCACCGCGCACACAGCTGCCCTGCCTTTCTGTCGGGGGTCAGAATGCAGAGGCTGGGAGGAAGACCAGATGGGCTTACTGGTCCTACTGTAGCTCAGCTTTTATCCTTCTGAATGTGTTCATCAGTGGCTGATACTGAACGAGAGTATCCCGTAGAATCCCGTAGCATCCCGTAGAATCCCGTAGAATCCCGTGAGTCACTTCATTTAGCTTGATACGATGTGAGAAGCTCCTGCCGTCCCACCCGGGGGATGGGACCCCCATCTGGCTCATCTTTGATTGCTGGATGCCACAGATAAACTAAGAACAAGAACGTGCCCGGGCTCGGAGACCTGGGGTTGCGGTGGGGGGGGGGGACCGCCCTTTGGGATTTTCATTTTTAGAACAGCAACAAAAGTAATTGCTATTTACTGTGATTTATAGACCCTTTGGAAGAAAAGGTTTTTCTCTGTGTGAAATATCCGATTAGATTGGACACTTTGTGTAAATGGGGTCCGAAGGGGAGGTGGCGGTGGAATGGGCCTTCCATTGCTGGAAAGTTCCACAGTGAATAATTTTCCTGACACTCTAGAGCAGAAGGCTTTGTTGTTTACTGCTCAGAGTTGAATTATTCTGCAGGCCCTTTTTAACCCTCTGCGCCTCCCCCACAAGACAGCCTCGTCCTTAAGGATGTCTTCCCCTGCAAGATAGCACGGTTCTTCCCTCTCGTGTGTATGCATTTGGTTTCAGAGTAATTATCCTTAGCAAATTGCTGCAGGCTGAGTTCAACGGATTCTCCCCCTTCTGGAAAGAAGGTTCCATTTGTCAAAATGGCAGGTTTGTTTTTTTTTTTCCTCCCCCCTCCCTCTCCCTTTCAAGCCAGTGGAGAGAATAGCGCCAGGGTCCGTGTTCCTGCTCATCTCAACATAGAGAAAACACCTCTCCCACGTGGCCCTTTGGCTTCAGTGGCCCTGTTTCTGCTCATCAAACAAACCTGTTCCTTCTCTGCTGGTTTTTGGCCACCCACGTTGATGCCCTATGTCAGCTTTGGGGGTGGATTTCTTAGGTGGTAGTCAGTGGCCGGACTTAATTTTGTTTCTAGGAAGTGTATTAAACAGGATGAAAATGAAAATTCAAAGCATCAATATCTGTATGATGCCGTTAAGGCAATACTTAGAAGAAATTTTAGGTGTGAGAAAAGAAAAAGATGTTAAGTCAGTGACTTAAGCAAAGCCATCTTAATAAACTAGAAAGGAAGAGCGAGTAAGATCCAAAGTAGTACACTGCATGAAGACAGTTTCCCTCTTAGAAGAGGGAAGATGCCTTACTTTGAAGCCTCCCAGCTCCTTACATTCCAGAACACTCACTTTCTCTCAATGACTCTGAGACTGTCGCAGAATTGCTAGAACTAGCCTCGAGCAGGCAAGAGCCCGGTTTAGGGCTTGGTTTCATCTCCTGCGGGACAGATATCTGTACTGAGCTGCTGTCCTCCTCAGGACACGTGATACATTTGCCTAGAAGCATCTCTGTCATGGGATCTGGTCTTCAGATCTCGGCCCCACTGTGCCACCCTGACCTTCCCGTGGAGGAGCTCAGGGATCTGGTCCTTCCCTTCTCGCCCTGCTCCTCGCAGGGACCAGCACAGCTTTCTTCCCCCGAGTTTGCCTGCAAACGGGACGTGTTCATTGTAAGTGATCTTGTGCACAGTGCGTGTTAAAGCCCTCCAGAGAGTCTCAGAAGAGAGACAGCCCTTGGTCTTGTCAGCATGCTAATAAAGCAGCTTGGAATTTTCACTCATTCGGTGCATTTCCCTTCAATTAGCGTGAATGCGAATTCATAGAGATCTGATTTTTCCCCCTCTCTCCCAGAGAGCTTCCAAACAAGGTTAGTTTTCCCTGGAAATCCTACAAGGTAGCAGTAGAGGGCAGTGAGCGGCCACATCTAGCCTGGGAAGCCTCGGCAGATGCAACCCAGCCTTCTGGAATGTTCACTGTCCTTCTCTGTGTTTTCTGCCCCCAGCGTGTTCCTGGATGATTTTCTTGCCACCGGGAAAGGTGCGCAGGCCCCGCAGCTGGAGTTCGAGCAGCTGCCCTTCAGCCACCCCCTCTTCATCATGTTCTCGTCGGGCACGACCGGGGCGCCCAAGTGCATGGTGCATTCCGCTGGGGTACGTCTCTCTACCCTCTGTCTGCTCCCCTGGGGACTCCTGGCTGGCGAAAACAGCCGTCTGGGCGTGTACTCCATACCCCCTACCCGGCCAGCCTGCACCCCCTCCCCAGAGACTCCATCGTGCAGCTCCTCTGCAGGTGTGGTGGGGGAGCGTGGAGGTCTGAGACTGAGCTCGGGCACTCAGAGCTGCTGTTCCAGGCGCTGCTGTGGTGCCTGTCACCCCTGGGATGGGGTGGAGGCCCCGGGGTGAGCCCCTGACTTCCACAGTGCGGCCAGGACCCCGTAGGTGCTTGTGAACGCGGTGGGGGGTGCCTGCCAGCCTTGCACGAAGAAGGCAGTGGAGCCGGGAGAGCAGCAGCCGTGAGCACCTCGAGGGTTGGGAGAGGTGCCCGTGTTGTTGCACGAGGTCGTCGTGTTAGAGGCATGGATGCGTGTGCGCTCTATGGCGTGGTCAGACAGAGCTACCCGTGGGCTGGGATCAGAACCTTGGAGAGCCTCCGGGTCACGGTATAAAGTGCCTGCAGCTGAGAGAAGCTTATGGGCCACAGTCGTTGGCTCTGGCCGCTGTCACTGAGCACCCCGGGCCGCAGCATGGACGCCACATGCCTCTCATGGTTACTGGGCTGGAAGTCTGAGGCTGGGGAGGCCAGGGTTGGGTTCCGCTGAGGGCTCGCATCTTGGCTCGTGGACGGCCGCCTTCTCCCCATGCCCTCACCTCGTCTTCCCTCCATGCGCATGCTTGGGCTCGCGTGTTTTGTCCCAATTCCCTCTTCCCGTAAGGACATCAGTCAGATTAGATTAGGACCCACCTTCTGGGCTCCTTGACTTTGTCTCCTCTTTTAACGAGGCCACATTCTGAGGTCCTGGGCCTCGGGCTCAGCGTACAACTTCAGGGACCCCCAGTTCAGCCCACAGCACACAGTCCTTGTTTCCCTGCGTATTTCATCAGGATGCCGGCTTTACAGAGGCCCCTGAAATAATGCTTTGCTACTAAGCCTGAGATTCTGTCCCTGTCAATCAGTGAAGTGAACCTTTTATGCTTGAAACAGCCGCAAGCCTGTAGGGAAGCTGCAGGAAGAGCTCGGTGGGCTCACGGTGGGTGCGGCCGCCAGACTCCGCCAGCCTCTGTGCGCTGGGCATCTGCTCCTAGCGCTTTCTGAAAGCTGCTTCTGTGTGGTCGCTGTCTCTGTGTGCGAGCACACACACAGACACACACATAGACACACAGACACAGACACACACAGACATAGACACACACAGACACAAATAGACACACAGACACACACAGATATAGACACATACAGAGACATAGACACACATACACACATACAGTCACATACAGACACATACAGACACACACGGATACACAGCAGACACACAGGCACACATGGACACAGACACACAGACACACAGACACAGGCGCACACAGACACAAATAGACACATACATAGACACACACAGACACACATAGATATAGACACATACAGACAGAGACATAGACACACATACACACATACAGACACATATAGACACACACGGATACACAGCGGACACACAGGCACACATGGACACAGACACACAGACACACAGACACAGGTGCACAGGCACACACATAGACATACACAGGCACACATACAGTTACACACACAGGTGCACACACAGACATACACACAGACACAGACACAGATGCACAGACACACACATATAGGCACACAGGCACACACACACAGATAAAGACACACCCACACACGGACACACAGAGATACCCCCCCACACATAGACACACACACACACACACACACACACTTTTGCTTTTTGCTGCCCCCCACCCCGAGCATGAGTTGCAGAGTCCGGCCGGCCGTTCACCCTGAGTCCTTGAGCACGCGTCTCCAGGCCGCAAGCACGCTCCTGCACAGAGCCCTCGTCGGGTCGCTGTGTTCAGGAAGTCGGGCATCCGTGGGATGCTGTCATGTGACGTGCGGCCCCGTCCGCGTGCTCCGCTCCCTCTGGGGCCCGCGCTCCAGAGCAGCCCTCAGCCTGCCTTCCCCCGTCAGGACACCTGCGTCCTGGGGGTGCAGCTGCTGGTCTTGCGGCGGCAGGTGCCTCCCACTGCTTAGGGCTGGGCGTCACCTCCTGGAAGCCGTGATGTGTCTTTCTCCGGATGTCATTCAGGAGGCGCTGCTGTCTGCGCACTGCGTCCTTGGTGTCTAACCAGGTCATCTTCGGAGGTACCATTCCTGGTGCGTTTGGTGCTTTTCTACGACCGGCTCCCTCCTGGCCTCCTCCTGTCGGCCTACACTGCTCCTGGCCTTGACGGGGAAGCTTCTTTCTGACTCAGGCACAGTCCCCCCGGAGCTCCGATGTCTCCTGGGCCGGCCTCGGGAGCCAGCCCCCTCCCCGGGCTCTGCGCCCCCCGGCACGCCTTCCAAATACCCCGGCTTCTGGCCTGGCCTCTCTGCAGCTCTCCCCAGACCCGCTTTCCCACTTCTCCCTCAGGTAGCTGAGCCTGGAGGGAGGAGAAAAACCCGCAGGCTCTGGGTCACACCTGGTCATAGCCTTCTCTCCTGCTTGGAAGAAGGGGATTATCCGAGAGGAGAAAGCTGTTCACAGACGGCTTTCTGGCTATTGCTGGAGATGATGGTGGCATTTGAAAATCAAATATGATGTTTCTCTTATTCTAGTTGACTTCGCTTTTACAGATGTTCCCTCTGCCTAGAAGCAGTCTGAATCCCTTCCATAAAAAGGGGACATTTACATTTGAATCATTTTAAAGCCTTACACAGCTTTTCCCAGAGCACTTCCATCAGAATGGGGAAAGGAGTCAGCACGGTTCCCTTATTACCTGGCTCTGGATTCGCTGCGGGTCTGATCCCAGCTGACACAGAGCTGCCAGATACACCAGGAGCCGGTGGGTGACTTCTCAGGAAGCCACAGGGCAGGAGGGAGGGGGATGTCGGGGCGAAGCCTTTACTTCTGCCCGTAACACTGGCCAGGCTGAGGCGAGTTGCCCTTTTGCAGGAGTGAGTTGACCTTGTTCAAACCATCCTGTTTTATGAAATCACGTTGGGTGTGTTCAGAGTCCAAGATGTCATTTACTATGGTGGCTGGAATCACATTTTCCCCAGGGAGGGGAGCTCTGGTCCGCCCTGTCACAGGCCCGTTAACGAGCTATAGAGAGGAGCGTTTTTAGAAACCTTGTAGACAAGGGTGGGATATGTGTGGCAAAACAACAGACATTTTAGGAAAAAACTGAAATGTCTAACTACACTTTTATTTTTAGTGCTTTTTGCAGAGCGAATGTCACTTTTTTAGGCAAGGAACATAAAAATGTATTAGATATAATGTGGCTTGCTCATAAAATCATCATTCCTGGTATATTTGGAGTATGGAAAAGTCAGGAAAAATCGTACTTATTCTGTCTTTCCTGTGCTCTTGCCTCTCCAGAGAAGTGACTAAGCATGTTGCCTGTTCTGCTCAAGAGTTCCCTGGACAGGAACCTTGGAGACAGTGGGACGGAGGGCCACAGCGGGGACAGAGGGCCGGCCCCCGGCTTTACTGGGGCTGCTGTTCCTCGTTTGCAGGCTTGTGTTTTCCGAGTCGACAAGAGGTCTCAGGTCTCAGAAAGCAGCTTCCCTCTTCTTTCTATGAAATTAAATTCCTCTTTTTGCTTGAGATGCACAAAGTCACGTTGCTCATACTTCCTTCCCCTCAGACTCAGCCATAAATACTTAAAAATTAAGAGCAAAACTACCGCTGTGAATTACGGTTCATTCAGAGACTCTTGAGAGAGAAGCCAAGCCTGGCTTGTTTTGTGCCGCCCGAGAGGAGGAGGAGAAGGCGCAGGCAAACAGATGTAGGGTTATAAATAGGCCAGGCTCGAAGCAGACCGCACTGATGAAGACACAAGTCTAAACTGAATGACGATTTTAAGTAAGAATCTGGGAGAGGGCTTTGCCGCGGGCTCCTGTTCAGGGAGCCCCTGGCCCTGTCGGTGGATGTGGCGTGTGGATGTTTTATGTTCACTCAAGGAGTTCCTGAAGCCATTGTCCCCAAGCAGGTGCCCCTGCCCCCGCCCCCCGCACTCCAAGGCAGAGTGCTGTGTTGTGCAACTTTGCACCGAAGTGTGTGACCCACTCAGGGGGGCCGGGGGAGCTGTTCCCAACCCCTCTGATGCATGCTCCATGAAGCCACCAGAGACCTGGCGTCTGCATGTGCCTTGGGGACCTTCAGAAAGGTCCTACATGCTCCCCCGAAGCCTCTGTCTGCCCGGCCCCCAAGTGGCTGTGGTCCCTGCTGCTCCTTGCGGGCCTGGTGGTGGCCTCTGTCCTGGACGTGCTCTGGAGCAGGAGCTCTGGCTCTTGAGTTGGAGACTTCTTTGGGTAGGGTTGTTTCCACTGAGCTTTCAAAGGGATCCTCTGCCTTTCAAGCCTTGCTGGCTTGTTTTCATTTCTCTTGGGTACAAAGAGAATCAGTTGTAAAGGCTGCTTGTGATACGTGGGTCCTTCATCCATCCATGTGATACGGGGGTCCTTCATCCATCCATGATAGGCCCTAAACAAGGGGACCTGTTGCCACCAGCCAGGTGCTCCCATCTGTGGAAGTGTGGTGGCCGGCCCTGTGCAGGGGCCTGTGAGGGGCAGTGCCTCGTGTAGCCTCGGGATCCTGCATGAGATCCACGCACAGATGGGAGCACCAAGGCCAGGGGATGCTAAGTGGCTGGCGTGGGGCCCCTTGCTGTGCCCTCCACACAGTGCTTGGAGGTGGGGTGCTCCCTCCCTGCTGGGAGCTGCAGACAGGACGAGTTCAACAGGAGGGGTGTGGGTGGTGGAGTATTACAGAGCTGAAAATAAAACACGAGGGCGCTCTCAGGGCCGGATAGAGAGCTCCGAGGTGTGGTGTGCGGAGAAGGCAAAGTGCAGGCCATGTGTGCAGGTAAAGAAGCCAGCATAAATAAATCCAGGCTGAGAGGCCAGGAGTTTACATGGAAACACACAGGAGGTGGTTGCACGGCGGCTGGAGAATTGGGGGCAGGCAGGGGCCTCATCGCGCTGTCCACTCTGGGGCACTGGGCGTGTGCACACCTGCTGTAGAGAAACAGTGGATGGTGCTGGGGGTTGGGGTCTAACCAGACTGGGCTGGAAGCAGGGTATCATGCTGCGAGGCTTGCAGAGCCCGTGGAGGCGTGGCGGCCGCGTCCCCACCGGGCTGTCCCGTCCCTGCGCTGCAGGGTTCTTGTGTTGTGCTCCCGTCCTTCTGCCCTGGCCTTGACTTTGCCTCCCCGCTCCCCTCTGCCTGGGGTTAGGGTCCCACACTGTTCCAGATGTCTGTGGTAGCTGGAGCTCGAGGCTGGCTGGAGCCGGTCGGAGGCTGCTTCCTGGGTGCTCGCGGACTCTCGGGTCAGGGCGCAGGGCACCCTGGGAGTCCTGCTTATCCACTCCAGCGTGCTCGGTATTTGGCTTCCTCCAGGAAAGGAAAGGGAGGCTGGCTTCTTCCCCAGGGCTTTGTGTCTGGGCCGTGTTTGCTCACACTGCTCTCCCGCCTCTCCCCAGGGCACCCTTATCCAGCACCTGAAGGAACATGTCCTTCACGGCAACACAGGCAGCGGCGACATCTTGCTGTATTACACCACAGTAAGCGGGCTTCGGGGGTTGTCGGGAGCCAGGGGACTGAGCTTTGGTCCCTTCAGGGCCTGTGTGATTCGGTCAGGGGTGTGGTGAGGGGGCATTCTCTTGCGTTAGCCGGGTGGGCCCGATGGGAGCACACGGGTCCTTGGATGAGGAAGGCGGGAGGGTCAGCCTCGGAGACGGAGATGGGGTGAGGGTCAGAGTGGTGCGGGGTCATGAGCCAGAGAATGTGAGTGACTTTTTGAAGTTGGAAAAGACAAGGAGCTTCCAGAAGGAGCACAGTCCTGCCAATACCTTAAGTATGGACTTCTACCTCCAGAACGCTCACGTAATGAATTTGTGGTGTTTTAGGCCACTAAGTTTGTGGCAGTTTGTTGGAGTGGAAATAGGAAATGTATACAGATGGCGCTCTCAATTACTGTGACAGCAGGGGGTCCAGGTGTGGAGGCCAGGTTGGGCCTGAGCCTATCCTGGGGACCAGGGCTGCTCCCCATTGCAGGACCGGCCTGGGGGGTCTCCTGTCCCTGCCATAGGAATGGGCATGCAGCTCAGGCTGCCCTCATGCCAAGTCCGTGCCTGCTCTTGTTGGTGCCGTCCTCCCAGAAGGAGACCGCCCCCTGCCCAGACTTAACTGTGTTTCTTTTAGAGAGAGAGAGAGAGAGCGCGCGCGAGCAAGAGCATGCAAACGGGGAGGGGCAGTGGGAGAGGGACAAACAGACTCCCCACTGAGCAGAGAGCCTGGTGTGGGGCTTGATCCTACAACCCTGAGATCACAACCTGAGCTGAAATCAAGCGTTGGAAGCTCAACTTACACCACCACCCGGCCACCCTCCTCACAGAAGGAGTTCTGTTCTGCCCCTGATCCTTGCCGGGCTACCTGGTGGCTGAGCCCAGGTACCCGGCTGGTCTGCCGAGCCACCTCCCTTCTCCCTGAGGTGTTTCACTAGAATCCTGGAAAGACTGCGGCTTTTGCTGAGCAAGGAGGGGGGCCCAGGAGCCAAGGGAAAGGAGACAGCACAACGTAAGCCAGTGTTGTCTGGGTCAGACGTCCCTGGGACGTGGGGTGGATGGGGGCCTGCCTCTAGCACATTCTCCTGGTTTCGTGTGGGATACGCGTCATTAAACCAAAGCTCGGGTTTGAGCAGCTGGGGACATTCCTGTCCTTGTGAACTCTGTATGATGAACACGTCAGACAAGTTAAAGGAAACAGTGTTTTATCCTAAGAGATGAAAACTTGAAGTTGACTTTTTCCAACTGCAAACATCAAGAGGTTTCAGAGTGAGTTAGCTCTGTTCCTTCGATAACAATTCCGTGCTGAGTTTTTTTTTTTTTTTAAGTTTTTGTTTATTTATTTGACAGAGATCACAAGTAGGCAGAGAGGCAGGCAGAGAGAGAGGGGGAAGCAGGCTCCCCGCTGAGCAGAGAGTCCGATGTGGGGCTCGATCCCAGGACCCTGAGATCATGATCTGAGCTGAAGGCAGAGGCTTAACCCACTGAACCACCCAGGGGCCCTCCGTGCTGAGTTTTTAGGGAAGCGGAATGTTGGAAGTGTGCTCCCGGCCCGTGAGGTTGATGGCCAGGGCCCTGGCTGTGCCCTTGGGGACGGAGCCCAGGACTCCACCCACTCCCGGGAGAGGGAGTCCAAGGGCACCCTGGGTGTGTGGCTGTGCATGGGCTGCCCCATCGCTTGGCGTGTCTAGCTGAAAATCAAGGGCTTGGGCCCAGTGATTGGGGTCTCCCTCAGCTGCAGGGATGTAACCCGGATCCTCTTGCCCTCCCCACAGTCAGGCCAGTGGTGCTGGGCACTGGCAGGCTCTGGGGCCCTTTTCACATGGAAAGCCCATCAGCATTGATGGAGCGTCTTTTGAGTTGTGGGGAGACCTGGCAGGTGCGACGGTGTCAAACTCAGCTGCCTCCCTGGGACTCGTGGTTTAAAACACCAGGGTTTTACATTTAGGGCAAGTACGTAATAAGAGCTTAGATATGGAGTGGTTATCCCAGAGGCATTTCACTTTTCCCGAAGCATCCTGCCCAGGAGGGATGGCAGGTAGCTTTTTCCGTGGGGCATGCTGGTGCCCACAGCTGTGGCTGGCAGTGGCTGTGGGGGTCCCCATGGCCGGAGCCAGGCCTACGCTGTGTCTCTTACTGACTGACTTTAAAAACTTCCTCGGATAGTGAGTTGGCCGGGCCACTGTGCTGCTCGGGCTGCCCCGCACTGGTTTCTTTTGTTAAGAATAATTCCTTAGTGGGGTGCCTGGGTGGCTCAGTGGGTTAAAGCCTCTGCCTTCAGCTGAGGTCATGGTCTCAGGGTCCTGGGATCGAGCCCCGCATCAGGCTCTCTGCTCAGCAGGGAGCCTGCTTCTCCCTCTCTCTCTCTGCCTGCCTCTCTGCCTACTTGTGATCTCCATCTGTCAAAATAAATAAATAAAATCTTAAAAAAAAAGAATTCCTTAGTGAAAAACTCAACTGGGGATATTAAAAGCTTGTTAAAAGGAAGCTCAACGAACTTGAGATTTGGGGTGCCCCCAGTGCTGGTGTCATTGAGGGGAAGGACAGGCAGCTTCTCAGGGGCCTGCTGGGTTCTTGAGCCCGTCCCCCAGGCTGCTGGTGGCCTGCTCGCTGAGGCTCTGTGCTGGTTGTCTCTTAAGTGCCCTCGTCTGGGGGTTCTCAGCCGGGCTGTACCGGAGGGCTTCTTGGGGTGCCTTCCGTGGCCCTCGGTCCCCACTGTGGGATCTCTGCACGGGCATGGGAGAGGAGGGCGGGCCTCCTGGCCTCCCTGGCAGAGACTCCTGCTGGAGCTTTCCTCCCGCTCCTGGCTCCCTCGCTGTGTTGGTTCAGCTCTGGAAACGCCCACAAGTTCCCCTGCATGGATGGGAACACTGTGGCCAGTTCTTTCTGCCCTAAAATGTTTTCTTAAATAACAACAACAAAGGAGCCCTCACTTGTGTACGGGAAACATTTCACATGGCACACGTGTGTGTGTGGTGAGCTGTCAGTGTCCTCCCGGGGCAGGGCACCCGAGTGGGTCTTGCTCACACATGCGGTCTACGTGTTCCCCGTGGCCCGTGGCCCATGTGGAGGCCTGCCCGGGGCTCCGGCTGTGGGTGTGGGTACGCTGCAGCCCCCATGCTGGCTTGTTCGACACAGAAGCTCGTCTCAGAGACTGGTCCCCGTCACTGCGGGCCGCATTCCTGTGGATGGCCACGGTAGGCTGGCTCCTGAAAGCTTGCCACGTGCTGTTCCAAACGTCTGTATGCGGCCTCACGGGTTTGGCCTGTGGTGTTCCACAGCACGTGTGCATGTGTGGGACCCCTTTCCTGGCAGCGGGACTACATCTCCTGGCTCTCTGGCTCCCATTGTCCCCAGCGAGGCTGCGGGAAACACCCTTTGACCCGTCTTAGTGTGCGTGTGTGGGTCCATATGAGACACTCTAGGCGTGGAGCTGCTGGTGCAGGCGTCGTGCATCGGGGATGGGTGGTCCCTGCGGACCGCTGGCTCGGTGTCGGGACATGAGACGCTGAGGGACAGAGGTGAGGGCACCTGGCCTGGCGCTCGGTTGACATTGTGTTCCTTTTGTCTGTCCCAGGTCGGCTGGATGATGTGGAACTGGATGGTGTCGGCTCTTGCCACGGGGGCGGCTGTGGTCTTGTACGACGGCTCCCCGCTGGTGCCCACGCCCAACGTGCTCTGGGACCTGGTTGACAGGATAGGGTAGGTGCCAGGACACCATGCTCGCCACAGAGCCACACTGCTATTGACTGCCGTAGCGCTGGTGCCGTCTTGGGAGTGCTTGGCCTCTCGGTGGGCCTGGAGGGCGAGGTAGGGCGCGGGAGGCTGAGGGAGGCTGTGGGAGGGTGAGGGAGGCCGTGGGAGGGTGAGAGAGGGCGTGGGAGGGCATGGGAGGGCAAGGGGGGTTGAAGTTGCCAAGGAGGGTAGGAAGGGGCAGGAAGCGCTGACGGGGACCAACCAAGGAGATGGGGGCCACCCCCAGGGCCAGGAGTGAGTTTGAAATTTCAGGGAATCAGGAGAGGGAATGTGATCTTGTGTCTGTAACTCTGGAACCTAAGAGCTGCTGGAAAAGCCCAGGAGAAAGGGAGCCAGGGCCAGCGAGGGTTCTGCCTCATGCCGGGCTCCCCCAGCTCCAGGGTGGGGTGGGGGGTAAAACAGGCTGTTCAGGGATGGTGTGGATATGCCTGTGAAGGGCAGGGGCAGAGCTCAGCACTGGGGCATTCCCAGGGTCTGGGCTTCCCACTGCTGGCCTTCCGAGACCCGTGGCAAGAGGACAGTCCTGCCTTTGTCAGCTGTCCCCTGGAGTCTCCTTGGATCCAACACAAGGTTGCTCCAAAATGCTCCTATAGATGCTGCAGGAGGGCCTCTGTGCCTCCAGGCCATCCTGCTAACGGCTAGTTTCTCCGTCAGGTGACAAGCTGGGATCCTAGGGAGCAGGGGCAGAACGTGGGGAAGGAGGCCGGGCCCTCCCTCCCTCTCCCGGTTCCCCTCCTCATCATCACTGGGGACAGTGTCAAGGGACCATTCTGGGAATGCTCTCTCTGTGGATGAATTCATCAGAACCAGTGGAAGCATCCGCCCCCTTGCGGCCAGTGGTCACCGTTGGCCTAATGATCGTGGCCCCGGGAGCACGAGCACAGAAGCCGCAGAGCTCCGGGAGCCTGGAAGCCCCCGTGCTCTGAAACGCATGCCTCACTCTCAGTTTGAGTCTGTTCACGGTGAGGAGACAGAAGGAGCCACTAATGTTTTTAAATTCGTGGTCATTAATATTTCAAATATAACTTTGCGCGGCCTGGGTAATATTTAAATTCTGACATTTGGCTCAAAATATTGGCAAGGAAGGTTATTTCTTAATGAGACTGTTTCCAGCAAAAGGTTAATCGAATCCCTGGGAACTTAGATGACTTTAAGAGCTTTACCCTTAATACCCGGGAGCTGGGCTCCAGGTGGGGACGCTTTCTGGGGTGTGTGTGTGTTTGTGTGTGTGTGTGTGTGTGTGTGTGTGTCTGTGTGTCTGTGTCTGTGTGCGTGTAATAGGAAGACGGATAGATAATGTGCATTATTGGGGCTCAGTGCTAATGAATTTAAAGGATGAAGGGCCCCAGGACAACCCAGCTCTGTGTGTGTGTGTGTGTGTGTGTGTGTACGCGCGTGCACACATTTATGTATGTGTTTGTATGTGTACACAGGTGTGCAGAGTGTGTGCATGTGTGGGCAAGAGTATATGTGTCTGCATGTGTGGGTGTGTGCAGAGGTGTGTGCGAGTACATCAAAGTGTGTGTGTGAGTACGTGTGAGCAAGGTGTGGTTGTGGGTGCATGTGGGGATGGGTGCATGTATGTGTGTGAATGAGCATGTATGTGTGTGTCTGAGCAGTCACAGGTGTGTGGTCTGGGCCAATGTAGTATGCATGTCCTAGGCATCTGCCTTCTAGCAGCCCTGCTGGCTCGTGCCCCAGATGCTGCTGGAGACGTGGCCTTGGCCATCGGAGGGCCTCTCTGGGACCTGGCCGGGAGCGTCCCTACTCCATTCCTGGAGGTTGGTGCAGGTCTGCATTCAGGCGGGAGCCGGGGGTGGGGTGCTTGGGAGGACTGCGGGCCTTGAACACCTGCTCTGACTGCCAATGGCCATGGAGAGGTGCAGGTCAGGTGTTGGGGGAGACCTTCATCTGACCTTCACTTGTGCGCGCCCCCCCACTGAAAATTAAAACCAAGTTACATATGGTCACATAAAATCCTACGTGTCGGTGGCAAGAGGAGCGGCTCTCCCAAGCTGGATAGCAGGGTCCTTGTGGGCCATTTCAGGGCTCCTGGGTTTTTTAAATAATTCGGGCTAATGTATGAATGAAATCTTGGATGATTTTAACATGTTGGCCCAGAGACGTACTAACATGTCTGGTAACAGAACATTTATTTTGTAGATGCAAAATTCTTTTCTTTTCTTTTATTTTTTTAAGATTTTATTTATTTATTTGGGAGAGAGAGAAACCACGAGAGAGGATATGAGTGGGGAGGAGAGGGAGCAGGCTCCTCACTGAGCAGGGAGCCTGATGGGGGGCTCCATCCCAGGACTCTGGGATGGGGGAGCCCGATGGGGGGCTCCATCCCAGGACCCTGGGATCATGACCTGACCCTAAGGCAGACACCCAACTGACTGAGCTACCCAGGTGCCCCGATGAGGTTCTTTTAAAAGACGGATTTTCTTTGTCGTTTGGGGTGTTTTTCTGGGCTCCGGGAGTCTGGCTTGGGGAATATTTGGATAAGAGCTGGGGCCAGAGCTCTGGGGTCTTTTGTCCAGGCTTTTCTTGTACCCAGACCAGCCATCTGAGTTCCCCTGTGTCACCTGTCTCTGGGTGGGAGAGGCCCCGGGGACACACTGGCAGAGTGGACTTGCTGGACAGCTGTCCGCCAGGGTCACGTCCACACCCCGTCTGCTCCACGCCATGTGCCCTGCTGGGCTCTGAGGCATGCATAGCAGTGCAGTGGTGGAGGTGACTTGTCTCTGCCCTTGTGGGGCTGCATGCGAGTGGGGGAAGGAGGAGAGAGAAAGAAGTGCTGTTGGTGCCCTGAGGTCCGGGATTCCCCTGGAGGCAAAGGCACTGGGGCCTAAACCTCAGGCCTGGGGAGGGGATGCAAAACACGCTCCAGGCAGAGGGGTGGGGAGTGCCTGGGCCCTAAGTTGGGGCTGGGATAGGTGTGTGAGGGAAGGAGACCCCTGTGCTTTGAATGTGAAGAGTGGATGTGGGACCAGCCAGGGGGGTGGGGGTGGAGGCTGGTCCCTCGGGGACTCTCAGACTGGCTTGGAGGGTGGGGGCTTTTCTGCACGAAACGCGACACCCCTGAAATGTTTGGAGCAACACAGCCCGGGTTCGTGTTTGTGAAGGCAAAGTCTTGCTCCTGAGTGGTGAATGCGTTGTAGGGGGTGGGGGAAGAGGGCAGTGGGAGACTGGTGGGTCTTAGGCAGATGGAGTTACCCAGGCACCGGGTGGGCGGCCTCGGAGGGGCTGTCTATGAGCCACCCGTGGGGCACGGGGGGCGGCTCCTGTCCAGCTGGGAAGCCTCCTGGTGCTTTGTGCAGATCCCCAGCCGTTATCCCTAAAAATACACAGCACTGAGCACCCACACCAAGCTCCCGTGCTTTGCGGGCTCAGTGTGGTTTTACGCGGCTCCTGCAAGCCCTGGAGTTGGGTGGGGAGACCTTCCCGTTCTTGAGACATGCAGGCCCGTGACCCAGGTCCAGCACCTGGTTGGAGTCTCCGTGCATTGCCAAGGTTAGGGTTCACAGGGATATGGGAAGAACCACAGAGAGCCATGATTTCGGTCGGGGGGGGCAAGGGGATGAGCAGCAAGGGGAATGTTGCTTTGGTGTGGCTGGGGTCGGAGATCTTAGTACCGCGGGTAGTCATTGCTCTGCCATCAGAGGCTGCAGGCGTGCCTGGTCTTCTGTGAAAATGTAGCCGTTCCTGAAGGGTGACACCTTAGTGCTCAGAGATGGTCTTGAGTTTGGGAATCATCCTGCCCGAGTTAATGCAGTAACCACGGGGGACGTGGGAGGGTTGTGTGCACGGCCCCCCACGGCCTCCCCTCCCGAAGCAGCCACCTCTAGGGCACAGCAACCCGGGAGGTGCCTAAGGTCTCGGTGGGGGGCTTTCTGGCGGCCACGTGCTGGTGGTGAAGAGGGGGGGCTGGGAGGGATGAAGGACAGTAGGCTCAAGGGCTCCTCCCAGCCCAGCTGCCCTGGTGCTGGACAGCATGTGGCTGTCTTCCACCCAGGGGTGGGGGGATAAGGTTTTGGCTGCCCAGAGGGATGCCAAGGGACTTTGATGTTTGCAGCCTCCTTTGGGCCTGGGAGGGAGGGCACTGTTTAGTTACGAAGCTGGTCTGCTGGTCCAGGGCTGCCTGGCTGCTGGAGCCATCAGGAGCGCTCGCCCCTGGAAACACAGCGACTTCTTCTCCACGTGGCGTTGTTCTCTGAGTGCGGACGTGGAGCAAAGGACTGTAGACTCTGATCATTCGAAACGCGAAGAGCTGCATCATTTAAGAAGTCATTTAAGTCACTTAAGAACAGGGGGTGGGTCCCGAACGCCCAGCACGGGCCCTGCTCCCACAGAAGGTCCCGCCGCCTCTGCACCTCAGCGGAAGGGGCTCGTGTGGAGCTGGAACTTGAGGGGTCTCGGTTTTCTGGCCTCCTTTGGTCCCCAAAGGGCAAATACCCTGAAGTTGGGAGGAGTGTGGGCTGGTGTACGATTCGCTGTCTGTCACGTGGAGCCATGTGCTCAGGGGGCCGGGGCTCCGAGCGTGTTGGGAGTCAGTGCGCCGGCCTGTCCCTGCTGAACCCGCAGTCAACACATGGTTTACTGAACACTAGGTATTAATTCAGCCCAGAAAAATATGTGTCTTGGATTTTGCAAACTTGCCAGAAGCGAGTCACTAATTTTAAAAAGCTCTGGAGCGTGGAATGTGCAAGAGCCTTGAGAGTTTCTGTTTTCTTTCCCTCCTATGCCCTTAGCATCACCATCCTTGGAACGGGTGCCAAGTGGCTGGCCGTCCTTGAAGAGAAACAGTTGAAGCCAGGTCAGTGTGCCCCTCAGGACGCCTGGCCTCGTCCCCCTCCTGCCAGCCAAGGAGTCCAGAGCCGCCCTCTTACCTGTTTCCTGCACGTGAGCCAGAACAGGGGTGCCGGGTCTCGTTTTAATCTCTCTGTGGTTCTTCCCCCTAGTGGAAACCCACAGTCTCCAGACACTTCACACGATCCTGTCCACTGGCTCCCCTCTGAAAGCCGAGAGCTATGACTACGTCTACAAGTGCATTAAGAGCAGCGTCCTCCTGGGCTCCATCTCAGGTAGGGCTTGCGCCGTGGGGGGTCCGGGAGGAAGCAGGGGAAGTGGGGCACGACCAGGCTGGCCCCCTGTAAGTGTGCATGGCCTTGGACCCGACAGGTCCGCTGCCTTGAATCTGTCCCAGGTAAACAGCAGGGCGCACATCTGTGCACGGTTGGTTCTTCTTGTTCATGATAGTTAAGTTCTAGGAAGTTACTGAGTTAGTGACTACAGAACCATTGGGGAAGGGACACACACACACACAAACACACACACACACACATCTCACATCAATTATGATCTTATATTCTGGAAACAACCCTTTTCTGGTAGATTCTGTTGTCTTTATCTTATGGAAGAGAAAACGAGGTTTAGGAGTGTTAATGGACTTGTCGAAGCAGCCCCCCAAGGGGTGCAGTGCAGCTGGGTCCCGAACCAGAGCCCCTTGCACTCCCTTCCCCCGCCCGCGCTCTCTCCTGGTCTTCTCTGTCGCGAGAGCCGAAGCCAGAGCAGGGCACTGCCTTGTGGCCCTGTGGCTGCGGACGTGCGTGTGGGGCGTCTCGAGATTTCCACCACTTGGCTTGTGTTCTCCGATGACCTTGAGAGCACCTGGAGTGTTGCTCCTGAGGTCATCAGTTTTAGTGAGCAGGAGCATTTGCAAATACAGAATCTGTAAGTAATAAGGATTGGCCAGGTATGAGAACAATTGTTGCAACGTTGTTTATGCTCGTTAAAAGCCGGAAGTTACCTATGTGCCTGGTAGAAGGGAATTCGTTGAATAACGTATGGTGCATCCTGAATTTTTGCAGCTCTTAGGAGGGATATGGTGAATATTCTTATGTAGATGGAAACATATTCATTGATACCGAAAGAGGGTTGTGATACGTTGAGTGAGAGAAGCAGATTGTAGAGATATAAGTGTGGTCATTTTTGTCGATTGAGAGAAGGAATATGTGGTGGGGTGTGTACACCCGTGTGTGTGTGTGTGTGTGTGTGTGTGTGTGCGCGCACGCGCGCGCATGGGTATTGGGATTTCAAGTGACTTTTTTTTCTTTTCACTTTTTCCTACCGTGAAATTGTATGAAGACAACTTGTGCATGTTGCAAAATCTTCAGAATCCAAAAAAGAAAGAGTGGTGTCCACCCCGAGTGGTTTCTCCTCCCCCCCACAGAAGCCTGTGCTCGTTTCCCCTCAGGGGTGTCCGTATATAGGTGGGAGAGTGTGTCTGGACAGGGTGAGACTCATTTAACATAGGATTCACGCTGTTCCATATTTCCCCCTTAACAGCATGACTTGTAGTTAATTCTATCTTAGCTCATCAAAATCTTGAGAGGAATTTAATTTCTATTTCTGAAAGCATATCTTTATGTATTTATTGGTTTTTAAAAAGATTTTATTTATTCTTTTGACAGAGAGAGTCACAGCGAGAGAGGGAACACAAGCAGGGGGAGTGGGAGAGGGAGAGGCAGGCTCCTCGCTGACAGGGAGCCCGATGTGGGGCTCGATCCCAGGACCCTGGGATCATGACCCGAGCCAAAGGCAGAGGCTCAATGACTGAGCCACCCAGGCGCCCCTGAGAACACGTCTTTAAAAGCTACTGTGTGATTTGCTTGAAGCCCGAAGCTGCCCTGACAGGCCTCTGCGGGTCCCGTGGCCTGAGGCTGGGGGACTTGAGCTGTAAACAGCTCAAGGGTCCGGCCAGCATCTGTGAGTGGCCTTGAGACATCCCTTCTCCCTCTGGGCCTCAGTTTGCCTGCCTTAAAAGGGACGGATTGTGCAGTGTGACTCCAGGGGCCTGTCCATGCGACTGCTGCCCACCGAGTGGGCGGACATGCTGGGGCTCAGGCCACTTATCTAGCGGGGTCACTCTCCTCGTGACAGGTGACATGTATAAATGTTTGCCGCCTGTGTGTCACTCTGTAAATGCCATGAAGTCTTGGAACATAGCAGCTCTCCTTTCCTGACACAAAACACTCTTCGAGATGCTCTGGGGGAAAAGCAGGAGTTGGGTGTATGCGGTGCCCCACGTGTGTGAGATGATCGTGTGTGGTGAGGGTCTCCAGCCAGGTGGCAGGGAGGCTCACATCCACTCCTCGGCCTCCCGGAGGGCATTACCTGCCCAGAGCACTGCAGTGTAGAAGCTTTGGGAGTTGGCCTGCTGGCTGATCCAGTGCTCTTGGACCTGGGCGTGTTTCAGCCCCTCAGCCCGGGCTGGCGTCGCAGGTGTCCCAAGGTCACCCGAGAGCATCCCAGGCCTTCCTGGCACCCCAGCGTGCTTCCCGCCCGATGCGTTCTGTCTTCTGTGAGACCCAGCCTGCACGGACCCCTGGGGTGCGGCTCCTCCGGTCGCCGCCGAGGGCCTCTGTATGTGACGCATTTGCCCACGTGGTGCCGGTGAGGTTGGGCTCATGGGTGAAGCCTTCATGTCCCGTGAGCCCAAGTCTCGAATTTCACTGTGACCATGAGAGGTCATTCGTTTTGTCTGTCATCCAGCAGGAAGACTTGGTCAAAACATAAATCATCCGGACACAGGCGTTTTGCTGAAATTTTAAATCACCTCCCTCATTTCTCCCTGAAAAGAAGCGCTAACCATCGTGCATTTTCAGTATCTACCGGGAGAAAGAGTAGAAATACCTCTGGGGTCTTCCTCCCTTGGTGTTCACCAGTAAAAAAAAAAGCTGTTCATCTCAGTCTTCTGAATTCTGCCTCTCCTTTCCCTTTGTTTGCAGGGGGCACCGACATCATCTCTTGCTTCATGGGCCAGAATTTTTCTGTTCCTGTCTATAGAGGGGAGATTCAGGCCCGGAACCTGGGCATGGCCGTCGAAGCCTGGAACGAGGAAGGTGATGGCTTCACTAACTGCCTTTCTTTCTGTTTCTGGGGGTGACCGGTAGCTCGGGAGCACTCGGATATGTAACCTCCCCGAGAGGGGTGGCCCAGCTCACTTGCAGACTGGGGTCCTTCTAGCTGCCCACCGGGCTCCCTGTCCCCAGCCCCCTTCAGCCTGCCCGCCTGAGAAGTCAGTGTCGGGTTGGAGCGGAGAGCTGTGTGTTCAGGAGTGGCAGGAAGGCTGTTGCACCCCTAGCATCCAAAGCCCGGAGATGCTGCTCAGGCAGCCCCACTGCCCTGCTCCTGTGACCCCCTGACCTTGACACGGACACAGTGAGGGAGCTGGGGTGTTGGCCTCTGACAGTGTCAGGATGAGCTTTTGCTCTATAGCCTGTTGGTGGCCATTGATAAATGAGCAAAGCCTGTTTGTGTCTCTAGCACCAAACAGGGTCTAGCCTGGCGTGTGGTGTGTGCACTGTGCAAATTTGCCCTGCAGCTACCATTATTTTAGCCTGGCAGAGTGCATGGGGAGTCTGGGTGAGGAAGAGGGAGAGACGTCGGCCATGGTGGCCCCGCCAGGTTAGGGGCTGGAAGCCTGGAGAGCACAGGAAGGATTTCTCCCTCTCCAGTTCATGGGAAATGTTGCCAGAGACCTTTCTGAAAATCGGTTCTTACTTTCAGAAGAGAGCTTTTCCTGGTGCTTGCTGAGCTTCTCGGCCCCATATGTCTGTTTTCTTCCCCGCCGTCTGAACCATTTCTTTTGGTCCTGGTCCCTGCTGCATTCTTTGGCCTGGTTGGGGGAGATGCTCCTGGCAGAGAGAAACTGACGGCCATCTCTGCAGCTTCCAGCTGTCTGTCTGTCGTCTCTTTGGGGGGGCGGGGTTCGGTGGGATGGGAGGAGCTAGGCGAGGGGGAGGAAATGGGGAACCCCAGGAGCCCCCTTGGGTGCATGTGGAATGGTGACTTTTCAGTGCCAGTCCTGCGTTGCTGTGGTGTGGAAGGTGCTGGATAAAGGGACCCGCTCCGTGGGAGGGTTGCTGTGCTGCCCTCTCCTCGGCCTCCACGGCCTCTGCTGTGCCCGGGGCCGGAGACTGGGCGCCCTGTGGGACTCGGCGCGACTCAGTTAGCCAGCAGGTTGGGAGTAATGAAGAGAGGTAGGGACCGCGTGGTGCAGGAATCCTACTCCTGGGAGAAGCACTGGCGCATACGAGCGAGGAGAGGTGTGCGAGTGGGTGCGTCGCCACATGTTCGCAGTAGGGAACAGAGTTGGGAACATACAGAGCTTGTCCTCCGGAGGAATAAATGGCCACGATCACATGTGGACAGTTACAAGCAGTGAAAACGAGTGGGCTGGAGCCGCATATAGTGGACGAGCGAGGCACCCCAAGCCCACACTGGGAGAGCCGAGCCGGGTGTGGGGCGCACACAGCAGGAGGCCATGGATGCAGTTTGCTGTTCGGAGACGTGTCTCGATGGCGTGAACGTATTAATACACGTGTGGGAAAAATCAGTTCCCTTTAGAAGAGAGGTTTAGGGGGGCGTGGGTCTGGAGGGAAGGTCGCTGGGGTCGGTCCCAAGTACATGGTGTAGGGGATGGGGAGCGTGTGTCAGGGTACGTGCTGCTGCGTGTGCTCAGGGTAGTCTTTCCTTCCCAAAGCAGGAAAGGCAGTGTGGGGGGAGAGCGGCGAGCTGGTGTGCACCAAGCCGATCCCCTGCCAGCCCACGCACTTCTGGAACGATGAGAACGGGAGCAAGTACAGGAAGGCCTATTTCTCCAGATTCCCAGGTAGGTCTGGTGGTGGGGGATGCGGAGGGAGCCGCCCACACTCCCTCTGGGCTGGGCCTTCGGGGTCTGGTTCCGAGGTCTTCCCTGCCCACACCTGTGAAACTGCTCACAGCTCCTTCCACCAGGGGGCGAGGCTGAATGGGGATCAGGATCTTGTCCCTTCTGCTTGGAGCCATCATGTGAAACTGGCGTCTGGTTAGCTTCTATTTCTTTACGGTTTATTTGTTTATTTGAGAGAGAAAGAGAGCACGTGAGCAGGGGGGTAGAGAGGGGCAGAGGGAGGAGGGGAGAGACTCTCAAGCAGACCCTTGCTGAGTGCAGAGGACCTGAGCGGAAACCAAGAGTCAGACGCTGAACTGGCTGAGCCCTGGTGGGGTTGCTTTCTGCTTAGCTGGCCTCTGTGTGCAGAGCCCCTGGGCTGCAGGTGCGGCTGCCGGGGGCCGGCACGAGCCCCAGTACGAGCCCCGGTTTGCCTGTGGGAGGGCTGTGGGCTGCACACTTACCCAGGACTGCCGGTTCAGACAGAAGCAGCGTGTTCAGGAGGAATCTGGCTTGGGCCTCCTCCTCTCCACTGGGCACGCACCCTCACCCAGTCCTCATGGAGGTGTTGGAGGAGGAGCATGTTGGGGGTGGGGTGCTCCGCAGCCCGCTTGTCACTTGCACACAGACCGACACCCTCGCGTTTCATCTTCCAAGTGGCGCCTTGCCCCGGAGCAGGGAGGTGTTTATTTCAAGCTCTGACTCCCGTCGGCGTCTTTCCTTCGTCCATAAGCAACCTCGAGTTATCACAGCTGTCTGATTCACAGTTTAGTAAGCCCTCTGTCCCAGAGCGGTGTTCTCCAAGTGCGTGCTTGCTTCCGTCTCCAGAAAGGTAATTTGATTCTGTGGTAACGGCTCGTGGAGGATCAGAGAAGGGCAGGTGGCCGGCAGGAGCAGAACTCGCCGTGGATCCCTCCCGTTTCTCCCCCGGCCTTGCGTCTTTACACGTCCCAGGTGAAAACCACTGTATCTGGCATCGCACCCCCACGCGGGCGTCGGAGGAGCGCCCCAGAAGTGGCGTGGCCTCCTGGGTACCTGCCACACGTGAGCCCCACCTTGGATCCCGCTGGTGTGTAGCTGTCCAGGTGGAGTGAGGCAGCATAGAGGGAGCTAATGTAGAGAGAAATGTTCCTCAGGTGACCCTGAAGGACAGGGCAGGACCTCCTGCCGTAGGAAGAGAGGCCAAAAGGAGTAGAACCTCAGTGGGAGGATCCATTCCTGTCTCCTGCAGTACAGCTCACTGCTCTTTGGAAACTGTGTTTCCTATAACTTATTGTATTTACAGTTAACATGATAAATGTCTCTCAGGATTGATTTCAAAGCCTTTCCTTCCCCTCCCTCCCTCCCTTCCTTCCTTCCTTCTTTTTTTGAACTTCCCTCTTGGAGAAAACGAGTATTTTGACCTGTTTTATTGCCATTTCCATTTTTGCCTTGGCTGCCAGGAAGCTCAGAGCGGAAATCATTGCTTGTTTCCAGCAGTCCTCTTACCCCCAGGGCAGGGTTTCTGATTCTCTTTAAAGAATCTCATTATGTAATCGGTTTTATAAGTAGTTTCCTCAGATACTTTCTGGGAGTAGGTGGGAGATCTGTGAACCAATTTGGAAAGAGGAAGGCAGTTAAGATAATGGAACTCTGAAGCCTTTGGTCATGGACTGGAGGAACACAGGTAGAACCTGACTGTCCAGGTTGTCCTGGGAGATTCTGACACTGTATTGGAGTTAGTGTTGAAGGAAACAGCTGGTGGCCAAGGTTGTCGTTCCTGGAGCAGCATGCAAACTCAGACATCGTTAGACCAGGTGAAAACGTAAGCAGGCAGAGATATCCAAGGAATTAGTAAGCGGAAAAAAAGAAGTACAGCACAGAGGGAACAGTACCTCTTTGTGTAAACTTCTAAAAGGAAATATGTGTGTGTTAAGTGTGTGAATAAATCCACAACAAAGGGTTATCTGTGTCGGGGGAATTATGAGCTGTTTTACTTTTCTTTATATCTTATCATTTTAAAAAACCTAGTAAAAATTTAAAGAGATTTTAAAAGCTGACTGAAGAAAGACTTAGACTGTTCTGATTCTACAAAGCAGTGATTTCAGCTCCGAGTTTCCTGGCAGCCAAGATAAAAAGGGAAATAAAATGGGTACAGATGGATGCAGGGGACACATTTCCACTTGGGAGCCAAGCACACCCAGCAACTGTTGGGACTTTGAACTTGGACATGGAGACAGCCAGAGGTTCCCTCAGACCGCATCAGCAGAAGAGCTCAAAGTGGAAGGAGACTCCGAGTCATAACTCATGGAGCCCTCCGTCCTCCCATAAGAGAAGCGTGTGTGTGTGTGCGCAGTTTATTCATGATGGTGCACTTGCAGACGTGGACAGCCATGCTGTTGTTCTCTCTATACAAAGACACATGCTTACCTAGATTTCCTGCAGGAGGAAAGCAAGAGCAAGGCTGGGTCTCTCCCTTTGCACTGGCATGCGGTCGCTGAAACCAGGTGGAAGGAGCCAGTGCTCTGCTGGCCCCGGGCACAGGAACCCGCAGGGAAGCCTGCATTCCTGCGCCGTGACAATCTGGCAGCAGAGCCACCAGCCCCGTGAGAATCCTTCCTCCCGACTTCACGTAGGAGGCGGCAGTGCTGCATTTTATTTTCACAAATGACAATTCCTTCAGGGTGCATTTGCATCTTCCGTTTTGTCTTCGTTTCCGGGGTCTCGCATTCATGATCAAACTCCTGGGAGAGCCGGCTCCGCGCGGCCCAGACTCTGTGTCGGTCGGGCGCCTGGTCCCCAGATGAGAAAGGACTCGTGGAGGGGGCGGCCCTGCGGCTGTGTCTGCAGCCCTGTCCCCTGGGATGGCGTCTGGAAGCCCGGCGTTGGGAGTAGCTGTCGGATGTGCTTCTGCAGAAACCTGGCGTATCACTCGCAGTCCTGGGAATGATCTTTTCTTGTTGTGTACCCGAGTCTTTCACGAGTCCCATCTGGAGGAGGGGGTTTCTCTCTTCAGCTAGGGGAGGAGGGGAGGGGGACCCGGAGACCTACAGTTACTCTTTTGCGTCAGAAGAAAGGAGCTCAGGAGACCCTCCGTTCCCTAACTGCCTCCCAAGGACCACCTCCCTGCAGATGGACAGATGTCTCGTCACGGGGCGCCTCCCGGACAGGTGCGGGCGGGTGGGGTTCGCGCCTCCAGGCGGGAAGCGTCTCCAGCATTGAGGGGGAGGAGGTCCTCTCCGTGAAGACCCCGAAGGTGGTTTTATTTGATATTTTCCCTTTCTGGGCCGCAGGGACTCGGGCCCCATTTCAGGAGGCCAGGCTGCCCCTGGGGAAGTGACTTCCAGGTGGCCACAGAGCTGGCGGGATGTGCTCCTGGTCGTTCACACCCGTTTGGCCTCCGATTGTGGGGCTGGTCAAGGGTCACTGCCTTTGGTGGCAGGAGGAAGCTTCTGGCCGCTTTAATTGCTCCCTTGGCAATTCCGTTGAGGAATGACTTCTCTTTCCTGCTCCTGGAGGATGTGGCTGAGGCTGGGGCTATTAGCTTTGCTGTGTCCGGACGAGGGCCTCCCTGGGAATGCCGCCAGCCCAGGCCTCGGCTGTCTGCCGGGCCACACGGGGTTGGCACAGGTGATCGGTTGCATGGTCACCTCTGATCCCTGCCCCTCCACCCCGTTCCTCTGCCTTCTGTCCCCCGCGTTCTACGAGCTAGGTAGCTCTGTGCACATGGCTCGTGCCTTACCTCGGGCCTCCCTTAGGAGCCTGCCTCTGGTCGTGCTGCTTCTGTCCCGTTCCAGGGGTGGGCCCAGCCCCTCCAGACCTGCCCCCTCAGCTCTCCCAGACCACCCTGACTTCCTAAAGTGGCTTCAGTCAGGCCTGCTCCCAGAGCTCCCACTGACCTTCCCCTGCCCCCTCTCGTACCCTCACTGCCAGGGCTGGTCCCAACCCTGTGAATTCCTGAGGCCCTTGTGGGTGCCTGAAGGAGTGATGTTCTCTTGCGTGCTGGTGCGTGTCAGAACTGGGTGCCCAGTGGCCCCTGCTAGACGCTGTGCTCCTGGGGGCAGGGATGGGCTAATCCACTTTTACCCCGGGCCCCAGCCCCGTTCCGTACCTATTTCTGTGCCTTAGCCGTGTCTGTTTTGATGAACCTCCTGTTGCTGTCATGCCTGCCATGGGCGTCTGTCCAGGCAGGACCCCTTCTCCGGGGTGACTGAGCCCCTCTGCCTCTCTGCAGGTGTCTGGGTGCACGGCGACTTCTGCAGAATCAACCCCAAGACGGGGGGCATCAGCATGCTGGGCCGGAGGTGAGGGGTCTTCAGACGGCTTCTCTTCCCAGGAGCCCCCTTTCCCAAAGCATCCAGGCAGGGACAGGGGGCATCCCGTGTCAGCTCCCTGAGGTCCGGTTCTGGGCCTGATCCACATTCCTGGGCCCCAGCATGGGGCAGCGGGTCTGTGGCAAAGGTGTGTCCGTCCTCGGTAGTAGCAGCCCTTCCAGAACAGCTGTACAGGTGGGAAGGGGCAGGGAGGTGACAGGTGTTTCCACACAAAGGGGACTCCCTTGTTGTCTGGCTTGGTGTTTAGAGAGAGAGGGGGACTGGTAGGGATAAGGAGCAAGGGGAGGGAGCCTTCATGACGGGGCCCAGTGTTGCCATGTGGAAAGGGGGTGATGCCTCCCCCCACCCCCGCCCCCGGGTGACATGCCTCACTCAGGAACTGCTGTGTGTTCATGACCTTGTCTCTTTCCAGCGATGGCACACTCAACCCCAACGGAGTGCGATTTGGCAGCTCAGAAATCTATAACATTGGTAAGTGTTTCACTTTCTCCTGAATTATTCTCGGGTCATCCAGGAAGGAAGGAGGGTTTGTCGTAGCAGGGAGACCCAGAGCCCGCTTTCCAGAGAGCCCAGCCCGCCTTTTGGCGCTAACTCTGGCCTGTTTGCCTCAGTGGTGAGAATAGACATTTGTGAACGTGTCCTTTTTTCCAGAACATACCTTGTCCACACTGCTCATGGCTGCAAAGCCTCAGAGGCCCATTCCTGTTCCGTTACATTTTATCTTCACAGTGAGCAACCTTGGCTTGCTTAATTATGTCCTCTCCGTATGGGTGAAGGAGAAGCACAGAGAGGTTGTGATTGCTGGAGGTCCCACAGCGCCATTCAGGGCACCATATAAAGACGGTGGGCCTTGCGGCCGCACAGTAGAATCAACCATGGGCCTTCAAAATGCTCCACGCAGGCCACGAAGTCAGCCTCCCTAGGAGGTGGCGTCCTACTGATGTCATGCCAAGATTGTCGGTGGAGCCAGGCCAGAGTCCTGCTCCTCCTGCCTTGAGCCTTTGTCCCTCCCCGCAGCGGGGTCCCCACCACAGGCACTTGCTTCCTGTTTATCTTTAAATCGGTGTGTAGTGGAGCCAGGGAGGCCTGTGTTTGGCTTCCTATAAACACGTTGACCACTGCAGTTCAAGCCACAGCTCTTGACTCCCCGCCAGAGACGGGCACTCTCCTGCGTGCTCCCCTGGAGGGTCTCTTCCCGGGAGGGTGGGGGAGAGCCGGCTGTGCCTGTCAGGCCCCGGGGGCCGGCCTCCCCCTCCCTGCTGGCTGGCCGCGGCGGGCCACTGTGAGCGTGTGTCCCCTTCCCCTGTGTCTGCAGTGGAGGCCTTCGAGGAGGTGGCGGACAGCCTCTGCATCCCCCAGTACAACAAGGACGGGGATGAGAGGGTGCTTCTCTTCCTGAAGATGGCTTCCGGCCACTCGTTCGGGCCCGAGCTGGTGAAAAGCATCTGTAACGCCATCCGCGTCGGCCTGTCTGCACGGCACGTGCCCAGCCTCATCCTGGAGACCAAGGGCATCCCGGTAGGTCCTGCCTCAAGGCCGTGGGGTCAGAGCGCCAGCATCTCCCCGAGAGCCCCGCACATGGGGACTCATCTAGGAGCTTGCTCTGCTTTATATATAGTTTGTCTGTGTTGCCTGGCAACCCCATCTTTTTCCCCCCAACATCTCTCTCTTTCTCTCTCTCCTATTTTTTTTTAACCCTTCCTGAATTGCATTTAAAGTAACTTCTGCTAAAATACCTGTGTTCGGAGGCTAGGCAGGCCCGGCCCTGCACATCCAGCCAGCTTTCCCCCAGTGTGGTGCTGGTGTGTTCTTAAAATTATTAATGAGAAAATTAATTTTAACTTTTTAAAGAGCCGCTGGGGTGCCATTGCTCTTGGCTTTTAATTTTAAGTTTCGCCCGTGGAAAGAAGAGTCGAATCTATTTAGAGGCGCGTCTCCAGAAAGCTGTCCCCCCTTCCACTCTGTTTAGGTTCTGAGTGGGGGAGGAGGGGCGCCCAGACTGGATCTCAGCCTCAGCTGGGACTGCTGACGCGCGGACGGCAGCCGAGAGGGGAGGCTGCCATGTGCACATGCACGCGTGTGTGCATAGGCGAGCCAGGCTGTATGGAAGCCGGCGGATCGTGGTTCTCTGATGGGGAGATGGGGCAGAGCGTGACCGGGCCCCTGCGGGAGCACAACTCTGATGCTGTCCTGAGCAGGGCCCAGACTTCTCCTGTCCACACGCTTCTTTTAAATATTGGTTATGCACGGGAAGGGTCCCAAGCTTGGGACTAGTCTCTCTGTCTCTCTTGGTTGGTGACTCCCAGCGACTCTGTGGACGGTGGCTCCCACGGCGGGGGAAGGTACTTCTCGAGTCTGTGACACTTACTGCCTTCTGATGAGGGCCTAAGGCTTTCCTTCAGGGAACCAGTTCTGTCTGCTTCTGGAACATTCTGGAGTATGAGAGTTTGATCTTCCCCTCGGCTCTCTTTTGTTGAAACGGGACATCTGTCCTTTGTTACCAGAAGGGTTATTCCCCAACTGTGGTCATGAGGTTAGTGACACGGTTTATTTGAGAGATACAGGAAATGGTGGCCCATCTTTCTGTCCTCAGCATGGCTATCAGGTCGCTGTCAGCTCCCACCCTCCGCGGGCGCTGTCTCTTCTGTCTGGTTGGGCTGGGAAGTCACTTTGAGGGTTCCCTGAGATTTTTTGAGGTCCTTGTGTTTCCAGAGCCTCCTGATCTGAACTGATGGATTGGGTTGGCCCTGTGTGTCACATGCTGGGGTGCGGGTGGCCCGGACAAGGAGACTGGGGGGCACTTGGGGCATTGTGAGGCTGGCAGGCCCCAGGCAGGCATGACCGCCCCGACTGATCACATCTTTGTCCCCACTCACAGTTGAGATGCCTGTCCCATACCGATGGGAGGCATCATGGTGTGTGTGCCCCAGGGAGGCCCGAGCCATAGCCCCAGGGGCGGGGGGGGGGGGGTCCTCTGCCTCCCACCACCCTCTTCGCCAGGGAAAGCGGTAGTAGGATTGCATCTGAATCACGGTCTTCTTTCTTTTGTCAACTGGTGGAAGATATAAATTATTAGCTCCCCTGAGCCATTCTTGGGGCTTTTGTGTAAAGCTTCCAAGCCCATATAGCATGTGAGACTCTCGCGTTCCCGGCCGAGAGGGGCTGACACCCCAGTGATAGGCAGTCCCTGGGAAGCTAGTGCTTAGGTCCTTAATTAGTTCACACGTCGCCTGAGTTTCTCAAATGAATGAATTTTAATTACATCTCAGGTTGAAAAAAAAAAATCATGCCCGTGGAGGAGAGATCAGGGCACTGCCGTTCTACTAAAGGGCTCTGTCCTTGAGTCCCCTGGCCCCGACGCCTGCACCGCCACCGGAGGCCCGCAGGGAGCAAAGGCGGCACATGCGGGCCACAGGTTTTAGGGGGAGCTTTGCACGTTTGGAAGGAGTCTGACTGCCCCATCCCACCCCGACGAGTGGTTCTGAGGACAGATTTGGGGACAGCTTGGTGAGGCTTGTGGACGAAGCTCGCTGGCCATGTGATCGTGACGAGGTGGTGGGAAGCCAGCCGCTGCTGACATGCTGGTGATGGCCTGATTTTACAGTACAGAGAAGGCTAGTGAAGTCAGTGGCACTGACAAAAAAGAGACAGTCTGACAGTGAGGCCCTTGCTAGAGCTGTCCCTATGTGAGCCCCGTGAGCGCGCCCTGCAGGGAGAGGCGCTGGGGCCCCCATCACGCTCGAGGAGGCCAGTGGGGCCTCGGGAATCAGCCCACAGTCCCCGGACGTGGTGGCCCGTGTGCTCACCGCAGTGGAAGGCCCCCTCCGCAGGCACAGTGCGCAGTGGGCTCCAGGCGGGGATCGTTCTGTCCGCGGTCTGGACTGCCCGGCCCCGGGAGCCCCGGGCTCTTCCCCGCTCGAGGCCCAGCCCCCTCCTTGTTTCCTCCGCCCTGTGCAGTACACCCTCAACGGCAAGAAAGTGGAAGTGGCCGTGAAGCAGATCATCGCTGGAAAAGCCGTGGAGTACCGAGGGGCCTTCTCGAACCCCGAGGCCCTAGATTTGTACCGGGACATCCCCGAGCTGCAGGACTTCTGAGTCGGCCCGGCTTGCTCGGCACCTGCCACATGCATCTGTGCTGTGACTTTCATGGGGTCAAGACGTTACTTTGGGAAGGCAAGTGTCCGCGGGCTGGAGGAAGAGTCGTGTCCGGGCCGCAGTCGCGTCTGGTGGCTTCCCTACCTCTTCCTGGACCATGTCCTGACCTTCAGAGGCCGAAAAGGAGCATTTGGTTGTGTGTGTGGCGAGGCTTGGAGAGTGTGTGTCTTTGCACAAGTGTTCTTGCACGCGCCATGCCTCGAGGAGCTGGGGGTGGCCTGTGCGTGGACGGTTGTGGCTGATAGCCATGGTCACGGCCACGGCCGCGCTTCCCTCTCTGGCAGCGGCGCCCCTCTGAGGAGCCGTCCTGCCTTCAGCCTTGTGCCTGTCATCCCCTTTACTGTCTTCAGGTGTAAATCTGTGTCTCCCTCTTACGTGGGTCTCCTGGCTCTGGCCGTCGTCCCTCGGGGCCTGGCCGTCTGCTGTGACACGTGGCCTGGTCCCCGGGTGGCCCACCGCTCCTGCAGGTCCTGGGGCAGCTGCGTGTCACGCCCACCCAACCCCGCCGCTGGCCAGCAGAGGCTCTCGCGGGACCACACGTGGCTTTTGTGCTTCAACGGGGTTTCCTTACTTCATGGACTTCGAGTGGTTTAAAAATATTGTAACGTTTGTTATCCGGTGTGTGTGGGTATTAGACAACTGGACATCCGCCCTACGGGGTGGCCTTGCTCTCGGGGCGCCCTCGCTCTGGGGGCGCCGGCAGGCCGCCCGGACAGCGGGCACGGGTCCTCCCGCGTCGCAGCCGCCTGGCCTCAGGGGACACGGCCTTGCTGCTCCTTCCCCCGGGGGCTCTCGGGACTTCGCGTGGAAGCGGTGTTCCCAGCAGCTGTAAATCGAGTCACGGGTTCATTCGCTGGGCGGTTCGTGTGTGTTCTCAGTCCAGCACGTTAACAAGTTCCTGTAATCCTGATGTTCGTTTTTGTATTTTTAAAAACAGCACAATGAAAACCTGTTTTGAATCCCTTTTCTTCTGGATTATAAAAACAGGGGGAAGGTGCTAGGGGGAATTTATGCAATAAACGTCTCTCTGTATATATGTGTCTGTGCAGACACCTGTGCGTGTGCGGCGTGCTGGAGTTTTCCTTGGACGGGTGACTGGATGCGCGTCCGAAGCTGCTTGTTTTGTGGGGGCTGCGCCCCAGGGGGGATGTTTGGTCACAGGGGTGGGGCATTCCTGGGCCCTGGGCATTTAGCAACGGTTCCCAGTGACTGAGAGGCCAGCTCCCCAGAGGAGAGGCCCATCCTTACCCTGGGCTCCCTCATGGTTCCAGCAGCCAGGTACCGGGACAGCAACCCATGTCATTGTAAGAGCCATGCGTCCCTGGGAGAGTGTTGCAGAATCCAGGCTTTGCCCGGAAAGAGGGCTGCTTTTTCTCCTGTCTGGGGGATGGTGGAGGCAAGCATGTGTCCGGGGCCTGGGTGGTAATTGCACTACGTCGTCCTCCGTCTGTAGTTGCCCCGCCTCTCACCTCCCATGGTTTTCCCGGCAGGAAGCTGGAGGAAGTGATGGGTGGGCTGGGTGAGGGGCAGAAAGGCCCCCCTCAGCTCAGGTCATGATCTCGGGGTCCTGGGATCAAGCCCCGCATCGGGCTCTCTGCTCAGCGGGGAGCCTGATTCCCCCTCTCTCTCTGCCTGCCTCTCTGCCTACTTGTGATCTGTCTCTCTCTCTCTGTGTCAAATAAATCAATCTTTAAAAAAGAAAGAAAGAAAGAAAGAAAGAAAGAAAGAAAGGCCTCCCTCTCTGATCTGTCCCCTTGTCATCAGCCAAACAGTGGCTCTTCTGGAAACCCCACCCCGTGAGGCTCTGCTGGTACCTAACTGACCAGAAGTGGGCCACACGGCCATCCCCAGCGGCAAGGGCGTCCGGACATCTGAGCGTTTTTAAACAGGACCCGTCACCTTTTTCATATTTGTTTTTTGTTGCTGTAACAAATTACCATGAACTCAGTGGCTTAAAACACAAATTTATTACTGTGGCTGGAAGCCTGACGCAGATCTCGCTGAGCTATAGTCAAGGTGCACCGGCTGTGTTCCTCCCGGAGGCCCCGGAGGAGAGTGTCTCCCTTGCCTTTTCCAGCTTCCGGAGGCGCCCTCCCCCGTGGCTGCTGGCTCATGCCTCCATCCCCAGAGCTGCAGGGCCTCCTGCCTCCCGCTGGCACACAGAAGCCCTCTGTGATCACGTCGGCCCCGCTCCAGTAATCCGGGATCATTTCCCTATCTTAACATCTGTTGACTCGCACACTCACTTCCATGTGCCGCCTTAAATCTCCTGGCTGCAGAGCCTGACCTCTTCCTGGGGCGCGTTGGGGGCTCTACTCTGCCTCCTTCGCTTTGCAAACACGGTCGGGTCCTGCTGGTGAGGAGGACGGGAGAGCGGCCGTCAGAAGCTGTGAGCTCTGTGCTGGAGCCGCTGGGTGGTTGGGACCCCTGGCTGTCGACTCACCCTGGGCTCAGCTTGTCCCCCTACTGTGGGCCTGGCTGCTAGCCTCCCTCCCGGGACTCGGGCTCCAACCCACTGGGGGCTCTGAGCCCACGTCAGACTGTTCCAGAGGTGTTGTTAAGACTTAAATGCTGTGCCTTTTTAGTTCCAGCAAGACCCCCTGGGCTGGCCAAGCCCACACTTCCGTGTTAATACGCTGCGCTGGACAGCTTCATTAATGAGAGACAGATGGTCTGAGCGACCGCCATCGAACCCCGTGGTGCTGGCTCTCCCACGATGTGCCTTGGCCCCGGCATTGCCCTGAAAGCACCTGCTGGTCAGTGGCCTTTCCCTTTGTGATGCCTGCAGGTTGTACCCCCCAGTTTCCTTCCCAACCTTCTCCTGGTTCTCCAGCACGTCTGTTCCCAACTTCGCCAGGAGCACGGGGACCTGCAGTTGCCGCCTGGCTGGGGGCTGCCTGGCCAGGGGCTCCCTCCTCCGGATCTGTCTTCCCACCTCTAAGAACTTTCTCGGGGGTGGGGGGAGGGACCTTGCCCACCCCTGCCTCCTCACCTGTACAGAGAATCCTAGGGACCCTGGAGCACTCACCCCTCCAACACCTTCTGTGCCGTGCTCCTCTGCACTGGCTTCAGAACGACCCCTCTTGCTACGGGCATGTGCCTGCTGGCCCCCCCTTCATTCCCAGCCCCGGAGGACCCCAGATCTGCTCTCTCATTGGGATCCCCAGTCCCTAACAAGCCCCTAGCAAATGGCCTGAGCCCACCAAGGCTCAGGAAGGGTGTCTCCTTGACCTTTTAACCCACCACCACCATGTTTGTGGACAGGAGAGACCCTCCCCTTGGGCTTCAGGTGCTCAGGGCAAGGTCTTGGGAATGAATTCCCTTTGAGGGCCCAGCCATGTCCCCAACTCTGGACTTGAGCCTTCAAAGGGAAAGCCACACACAGATTTGCGGGGATAAGTGGTAGCGGTCTGGCTCAACTGGAAAGAGGTTTTTCCCTGCAACAGCTTGAAGGTGAATGGGTGGCCTAAAGGGTAGGTGGCTTGCCTTTGCAAGGTCGCCCACATGACCCGCGCTTCTAACACCCAGTTGCCCCACCATCCCCTACAAGGCGGCCTGGTCCTGTGACCCATGCCGGTCGCATTCACACTGCAGCCCCCTCCCTTCCACTTCCTGCCCATCCGCCCCCACCTGTCCCACAGCTGCACTCAGCGGCAGGAGGCTGGGCTGTGTGCTCGCTGGCTGGACCGCACCTGACCTGCAGCTGGAGTGTCAGCCCCGGGGGAGAAGACATGCGTGCGTGTGAAGGCAGTCCTTCCTAGTCTTTGTGCCTCTGCATTTTGAAGGTAAATTGTAAGGTTTATGAGGCAAACTTGTGGGCTTTTATAACATTTTGGCCATGTGTGTGTATGCACGCATGTGTGCATATATGTTTGTGCCTATGCAAACGTCTGCGTGTGTGTGTGTGTGTGTGAACCTGTGTGCGTGTGTGGCTGTGCACGTGTGCGTGTGCTGACATTACACACAGCTCATCCGAACCCAGAAGAGCAGGGTGGTGAACACATCCGGTGTGCGTGTTTTCTATCAGGGTGAGGGACCCGAACCAGGCGCTCACTCACACGTGGCACACATGGGCCAGGGGGAGACTCCCCGTCTCACATTTGCCTGGCCTGACTCTGGCTGCTCACGGCTCCGCCATCTCAGCCTGTCCCCCCGAGTGGTTGCCAGGGTGGGGATGCCTTTCCGTGTCCCAGTCAAGCGGCTTTTTCTGGGCGTCTGTAGGACTGGGGACTGGGCAATAACTGCCTCTTCCAGCGACGTACCCTGTTTGTCACTGGGGCCAGTGGTCACCAAGCGTGGTGAGTCCCTTGCTCTAGGGAGTGGGCGCTTCGGGCAGGAAGACAGGTGGTCAGCAAGGAGAGGTGAGGAGGCCTGACCAGACACCACGGCCAACGCCTCTCCAAGGAGACGGTGCTGAAGGCCGGCCTCTGAGGGGAGCTGCCCCGTGAGAAGGTGGGAGGTCAGCCCGTCGGCAGAACAGAGCGAGCCTCAGCCATGGTCCGGAGAAGCGCGTGGACTGACCCAGAGGCTCAGAGGAGATGTGACTTGGAGAAAGGGTACAGAGCCGAGTGGGAGAGGGGCCGCGTTGTGGAAACTAGAGTGTGAACTGTGTTCTGAGGGGCACCAGGAAGCCACAAGGAGTCGGAGCCCAGCAGTGACATCAGTGTATGCCCATGTAGAGGGGTAGCCGGGTGGAGCAAGGATCTGGATCAGGAGGTGGGTGGGTCCAGCTGGGTCCAGCTTTCTCCCATCTCCTCCTCCTCTGTTCTCTCGCTGCAGTCCCAGCACCCCTTGTGCACAGAATTCGAGAACCACTGTGGTTCATCAGGCACATCGGTGTAGAACACACAGCCGGGACAGGCGGAAGCCTGTTGTATCGGGCTGGAAGCCCAGACTGGCTTTGACGAGCTGTGGTTCTGTCTCTCCAGGCCACAGTTGCCTTTTCTGTCAGTTCTGAAAGCCTGCTACTATTCTGTCCCTGTGTCCTCAAGACTGTCGTAAGGTCATAAGCAAATC